TTGAGAACTACATCTCAGTTGGAGAATCGGTTAAGTTTAATGCTTCATAGTTTAATGCTCGGAAAGCTGTTTCTATTTCTAAAATTTGTGCTTGTAAATTGCCCCCATCCAAAAGGCCCTTTTCTCTTGTTCTTATTTTGGGACGCCAAAATATAAGTAGGTCTGTCAAATCCTTTTTATTTCCAATCCGTAATGCTCAGCATATTTCCAATCCAGAAGTGGTCACAAACCAAAAAGACTCGATTGACCCGGGAAAATTGGGTTCGGACTTGGACCTAAAAAACTCGACAAACCCGGAAAAACCTGGATTGATTATTTTTTTTTCTTCAAAAAATGATATTTTTTCATTTTTTTTAAATTTTAAACCTATAAAAATGCAATTTCAAAACACTAAACAGAAAAAATATGTAAAATATTTATACTTATTTATTTAATAATGAAAATCGTAACAAATGATATTATAAATGTAGAATACAAAGTAAAACATGTAATTACATTTTTTAATAGGATTAAAATTATAATATTCTAAAATATGAGGGTGTTTGATTAATAAGTGTTATCATTAATTGATTATTATGAATAAGAACTTCTTTTATTATAAGTTTGCACAAAATTATACGTGTATTGTTATTATATGGTCGTATAAACGTTGACCCGTGACCCGGTCATGTGGCGGCTTGACCCGTGACCCGGTCATGTGGCGGGGTTGCTTCTCAAACGATTTTTTAAACATAGCCAAATCGACCTGATTAAAATAATTTTGGAAACAATACTTCAACAAATAAGGGCAATTGTGCAGCTGGGTGGGAGTTGAGTGAACAGGCCTAGTCGCTTGTGTTCGAATCCCACAGGGCACTTCCTTTTTATTTTAAAGTATGCGGGAATTATGATGTGGCATTCAAATTGAATGATGTGGAATTAATGATGTGGCAATTTATTGGACAAATAATACTACCTCCGTCCCGGAATTATCTCCTTATTTGACTGGACACGAGTTTTAATAGAGGTGGGCATAACGGTTCGGTTTGACCAAATCGAACCGTACCGAACCGAAACCGAACCATTTGTAATTTGGTTTGAGTTTGGTAGTATTCCTCCCAACCCGTATTAAACCGAACCAAACTGAACCGAAATCATAAAACCGAATAAAACCAAACTAATCTAAAAAATAAAATAATTTCTTATTTTTTTAAAATAACAAATTAAAACCAACTTACACCAAACTAAACCAAATCAAAATATAAGATTTCTCTCATTCATTTGATTGATGTTAATCTTTTTGAAACTTTATTTCTTTAATTTTAGTGTCCACGACTAGAGTTTACTACAAGAGTTACATTCACAACTATAACAATTATAGTGGTTTAAGTAGATAGTATTTTATTATAATTTATTATCTACTACTACTATATATTTGGTTCATTACTTACAAGCACCAGTTTTGTTTTTATTTCGGCTTTATATATAATTTGGTCCATTCCCGTTGATGTTGCTTACAAATGTGTCATGCTTATATATTTTTGGTTCATATGTGTTTTGTTACTGTTTGCAAATTTATATCTAACATTATATTTGGTTCATCACTATCGCTTCTTGGTTCATTATTTTGAGTTATTTTTTTTCAATCCAAACCTTAATACTTTGGTAAACCGAACTCCAAACCGAACCGAACCATACCAAACCGAAACCAAGCCGAAACTTAATCGGTTTGTAATTGGTACATTTTCTATCAAACCGATTAAACCGAAACCGAACCGAAACCGAAGAAAACCGAACCGAAAACCGAAATGCCCACCCCTAAGTTTTAAGATGTGTGGTGAAGAGTTGTGCAGAGGAAAGAGAAATGTGCAAGAATGGTTTTTGACTGGACACGAGTTTTAAGATAGTGGGAAATGTGTGGTGAAGAGTTGTGCAGAGGAAAGAGAAATGTGTAAGAATGGTTGTGAACCACAAATTCTTTGCCAAAAAAGGAAAGAGGAGATAAATTTGGGACGGACCGAAAAGGAAAGGATGAAGATAATTCCGGGACGGAGGGAGTAGTAGATACGAACATAGCAGCCAGTAATGTATGACAAGGCAAAAACTACCTTTATTGAGAGAGAGCAAGTTGGCATAATTTACATCCATAAAACCCGAAGTACAAGCCGGATTAATTTACATCCCCATATCCTAATGTACTTTTCCCCTATATAATGCAAATCATAGGAAACTCTCTGATCCCTCTCCAAATTTGTACCCTTTCTCCCTGTTGAGTTTAAGTCCCCAAAGATCCAAAGGTCCAACACCAACCCTTGGATATGAAGGATGATTAAAATAAAAGAAAGTGTTCAGTGAAAGATGCTAACTAATCAGATGATTTAATAGCTCCAATTGTATTAACGTAATATTGTGGTTACAGAGAAATGGTCGAACGAAAGTTACAAACCACTATCTAATACAAGAGCCCAAATGCAATATAAGCTTCTGAGTATTCAAATGCTAACCCCTTCTAATGAAATAAATGCAGCTATTTATACTAGGTATGATTAGGTGGGGGGAATGATGTGGCTGAATCTTATTGGTTGCTTTCCTCACCACTTGTACACCCATGCTCCCATTTGTGACCTCTATCCTCTAGCATTAAATGCAACCTGTCACTTGTACGGCTTCTCGATCGGTACTAGGACCCACTGAGCCATCAATCAGGGGGTACGCTGATTAACCTTCAAGTGTGGATTAAGGCCCGTTCGGGATATACCGAACGGTTCCTTCACCAATCGCTCAGATCCCGTTTGGAAGCTTTTTGCTCCGCTGGATTTCCTTTGGGCTCTGCCCATGTTCTTGGGCCTTAGGGATATTATGGACCGATCTATTGGGCCGAACCCTAATACGCCGACACTCTTTTTTTTTTCAAATTACATTCTCAGTCTCCTATGTCACATCCCATACTGCATCTAAGCTCGTGTAAAACGTCTGTTGAAGGTAAATCCCGTAGATCCGAAAGCCCAACACGAACTTTGGATATATCAGGAATGATACAGAATCAAAGTGTATAACCAAATATAAAATATGAACTCACTAATACTCAAAAGCTCACTTGTATTAATTAACCAGTCTGATTACAAGGAAATTCCCGATCGGTAGGTCGGAAACAATGCTTTAATACAAGAAATAAGAGCAATAATGCTATCCTAGAGCCTGAGTATTGAAATGCTAACCCTTACAATGATTTTAAACCTTCTATTTATACTAATGGAGAGCATGGGCTGCTCTATGCTGATTGGCTGTTGTTCCACCGACTTGGTCACCCATGTTTCCACTTGCTGATGTCACAATCTGGCATTAATTGCACCTGGCCACTTGCCGGTTGTCCGTTGCTCGAACGGGATGTTGGACTATGCTGAAGACGCTGTCAAATTGGCCCAAGTATGATATATAGCCCGAACTCCGTTCGGTATATCTTCTTACTGGGCCAACCCTTACTTGGGCCGAATCTCGTTCGGCATGAATTCTTCACTGGATCTACTCGTCATAGAGTGATGGGCTCATCGTTTGGGCCGGGTATCTTGAGCCTTCTTGATCCGGGTATTGGGCCTCAGGATCAATATCCCAACACAAGTCCCCCACTTCCGATGTCTCGAATGACAGTGAGTGCATTAGGAAGTATGAACACCAATGTTTTCAATTCGCCGAATGGCGATCGGGGTACAGAAGTAGTCAGTTCTCCATACTGTGATTTGATGGCTGTCGTTTTATTTCCCCATACTCATCATGATAACCGTCGTTTAGTCTTTTCATTGGACACACGTTTAGCTTAAATGCTTCTGATGACGTGTTGCTTCCTGATTGGTCCTCGATACGGCAATTTAAAGGCTATAAATTAGCCCTTAACCTTTCAAATCCGGGTTTTGATTCTGCAATCTCCCTCACATCGTTGCTCCCTCTGAAATTTCTCCCAGCTTTCGTCGCTCAGGTACCTTTCCTCCCTCTGTTTTTTCTCCTCATTTCTGGCTCGGTCGAGATGAGTTCTCAACAGCATTCTCCTGATTCGGAGATGGCCTCCCATGGAGATGACCGTGACGCTGCTATTGTGGATGTCATCACAGTCCCATTCGCCGGTGGTTCTACTGAAACGGCGACAAATACTAGGGCTGAGGCGGAGGACCTTCCTAGCACTTCATCTTCCTCTGATGAAAGCTCTGATGGCACAAAATCCGAGGATGAAATGGATTTAATGGCGGCTGGACGGCCAAAAGATGTCCCCCGTCATTCCCTCGACCTAGGTTTAATTAGGGCAAGACGGCAGAAATTGACTGCCAATAATAGGGCCGAAATTCCGGCCCTAATCCCAGACCCAGTGGACTTTCGATTGCAAGCTGGGCTTCATCCCCTGCGTCACGCCCCTGGGATGATCGTGGTCCATTTTGATTCAGTGAGAGCTGGGCTTAGATTTCCGTTACATCCCTTTTTTATTTCATTTTTTAATTTTTATGAAATTGTACCTACCCAAGTCATGCCGAACTCCTATCGGGCAATGACGGGCTTTATCTGTCGTTGTAAAGATGTCGGTGCTTCGCCGACCTTAGATTTATTTCATCAATTTTTTAAAGTAGCCCCCCAACAAACTCATGGGTACCTAGCCGCTAGTTTCCGAACGGGCCACATTCTATTCAAAGGCAATCCAACCTCAATCAAGGGATGGAAATATAGGTTTTTCTTCGTGTCTATCCAGGACGGGTTGATCCCTCATAAATGGAACGCCTTTCCTCGCAAGACTCCCGACCCAGTTCTCACTGAGGAAATCTATAAGGACGTACTCGCTGTGGAGAAGGACAAGTGTTGTGATATCATGACCTACCTGACTCCCGATCGGCTTGTTAAAGCCAGGATAGGTACTGCCCATTCTCTTGGGTTTACTTGTTTTGAGAATCAAGTGCCATAGTCCGGGCGTCCTTCCCGTGCGAGAAACGTTCCCTTCTTGTTACTAGTTTCTCACATGCTAAAGGCCGCTCGGTACTAACATTTCCCTTTGTCATTTTTCAGCTCCCAATCCAGACGCTACTATGGATGACAACCGTGTGCTTGCTGGCGGGATCGGGAAAAGGAAGAAGAAAATGAAGAGGAATCCAAAAGTTGATTCACCCACCACTACTGCTCCACAACCCGAACCTGCACCGACCGTTCAGCAACCGGAGCCTATTCAGCAATTTTCTGGTCAGGATCATTATGATGCCATGATAATCGATGACCGCTTTGGTTCTGATCAGCCGCATCAGTTTTCCCAACACTTTGATTCCGTTCAGGGGGAAATCTCGAACGTAGGCGGGAATCATACCGACCATATCACTGGTCAGGTCGAACGGATCTCTTTATCGGATCCTGTTCATGAGGTGCTAGAGAGAGCTGGTTCTACCACGAGCCAGATCTGGTCAACATCTTCTTGGTTCAACAATTCCTCTCTTCCCCAGTTACCGGTCGAGCAATCCGAAGAATGCCTGACCTTGACCGCACTGAAGGTATATTATCTTTTGCGCTTTGTTTTTATTTTATTCTCTGTAATCAGTACTAACTCTCGAACGGTGCTTTGTAGATGGGTTTGTATACTTTGCAAATGCGGGAAGCCCGTCTGGCCAAGGAACGGGAATTAATCGTTGCTCAATCCTCTGCTGAGCAAACTGCTGCTGCTGCCATCACCTCCCGGGAAGCTGAATGGAAGGCTTTTGCGGAGGAAAAACAAAGGCTGGATACTGAGCTTGGTACCCTTCGGGTCCAACTTGCTGCTTCCCAAGCTAAGGTCATTGCTGCCGAGGCTGCACAAATCAAGTTTGAGGAGATGCCTTCTAGCATCCCGGACGGCCCATATGAGGTGAATGTGGATCTATCCGCTGTCCGGGAAGCCTTCAAATCCTCCGATGAATTCTCCATCATCAAGGATGATCATGCTAGGACGCAAATCCCGTTCGCATTTGGAGCGTACCTGAAGGGGTTTCCTAGGGGTGCTGATCGGCTTTCGGCAGGGGTGGCTCTTTTGGATAAGGATCCTGAGAGCAAGAAATGGAATGACTCCATTGTTGCATATCTCTATGCCAAGATCGGCCAGGTCCTGCTACGTCCTTTTGTAGCCCAACTCCAAAACAATATTGGGAGGCCGGTTCAGGTTTCTGATCTTCCCCAGGATGAAATCATACAAGCTCAATTTGAAAAATTCCAGCGAGATCTGCAACGAGAAGCTGATCGGGCTGCTGGGAGAGAGCCTGAACCCCCGTCTGATGATGATGAAGACGAGGATGAAGATGGAGAGGAGATGGCCCCTGGCCAATAATCTAGATGTTTAACTTTTTATTAATCATTGTAATTCTCTTTTCTTCAAGTAGTTTGTATTTCCTGGCCTGTAGAGCCGATGAATACAGATCTTTTGTTTTGCACAAAACATCTTATACTGTCTTTTTTGCGTTTATTGAATGATTGCTCACCATTCGGGATTCAGCCCGTTTTGTAGCACTTAATCAATTTTCTGACTTTATTTTTTTTACCTAACACTCCTAACACCGTATGACCGCCGCTCGGGCATTGGAGGGTTTTGATAATTCACCAAGGATAAACCCCCTTCTTTCTAGGACTTAGCCGTTCGGTCTTCAGATCATTTTTTAGGACTTGGTAGTTTTTCTGGCTTCAGATGTCTCTGATAGTCTACCCGCACTTGGCTTCCTTCATATGTTGGTAGCCGTTCGGGCTTCAGATCGTTTTTAGGACTTGGCAGTTTTTTCTGGCTTCAGATGTCTCTGATAGTCTACCCGTACTTGGCTTCCTTTATATGTTGGTAGTCGTTCGGGCTTCAGATCATTTTTTAGGACAACAGTTTTTCTAACCAGCAAGTCCCTGTGATCTTTGCTAATTCTCTGTGAGCCCGTTCGTCACTCGGTAATCGGCGATCTGAGTAGTTTTTAGCCATCCCTATGGACCTCGTTGCTTTTCTTTGAGAAAGATTTGCCTCAAAACGTTAGTGCCCTTTAGATGTTCGTTTGCCTGGTTAACCAGTATTCGCAATCATATTTCTTTATTGCCCGTTCGGGGTACGTGCCTAAAGATGAACCATAAATACCCCTGATTAATCATAACCACTTAATGCCACGTGTTGCTCATGGATTAGGGTTTTGTGCGGCACTTTCCCTATTTATAGAGAGGTGCTTTCCCCTCATTTCTCTTGCTGTTTCCTCATTTTTCCTTCTAAGCTCAGAATTCTCTTGCGTATTTCAAGCTTTCTCTCTCTAGAATTCCCAGAATTCCTCAAGTGATTTTATGTATTTCCCTTCTAGCTCAGAATCTGAAGAAATGCCGTTGATTCGCGTAGGAAAAACATCTGCTGGTAACAAGGCCGAAGGCTCTTCTTCCCAAGCACCTAACTCCGGCAATCCTCTCGCAGGAAAAAGCATCGAACAGCCACGTGATGACGGATGCCTATCAGGGGACGATGTCCAGGTCTATAACAAGGGAATGCCCGAGCGGCCACCCCGCATTCCCCTACACTTTACCCGTATCCGTAAACAAAAACAATGTCTCCCTGAAGATGTCGAACGACAGCTTAGCCAATTATTGCCCCCACCAAGAGAATATTATGCTGGATTCATTCGGCACCCAATGAGGCATCGACCGGGGCACATGCTAGTGCACCTTGACGCTTTGATTGCTGGGCTTCGCTTCCCTCTTCATTCGTTCATCGTGGAGTTCTTACGCCGGGTTTCTGTACTACCCGCTCAGTTCGTGCCCAGTACCTACCGCATTCCTACAGGCTTCATAATTCGATGCCACGAGTTGAGGATCGCTCCAAGTGTCGACTTATTCCTCCATCACTACTGCTATCAGCCTTATTGGACGACCGGGTACCTGAAGCTGGTAGCTCATTCTGATCGCCAGTTGCTTACATATAATCCTACCCCGCCGGCTGATTGGGAGGAGCGTTTTCTGTTTGTTCGGGTAGGTGATTCTCTGCCAATTCCGGATAAGTGGAACGCCTATCCCGTTCGGGATTCTCAGCCTAGAGTAGATGTCGTTCTACGCTCCCAAGCTGAATCTTTGCGGATGGGAGGAACCCGAAGTCTTCGGGGTTTTATTACCACTTCTAACATGCTATCTGCCGGAATTGGTAAGTGTAACAAGGCTTTAACCCGATCGTCATTCCTTCTTCCAATTTTAGCTTCTTATCTCTTATTCCCCTTTTTTGTAGGTGTGATATCCCCCATACCCGTCCGGCGTTCTATATCTGCCGCTACTCTGACGGCTTCTTCTGGAAAAGGCAAGGAGAAAATGATTGCCGATCATGCCTCTGCGGAGCAAATCCGAAAGAAACGCAAGGGGAATGACGGTAACATATTGTTCCCGGTCGACCACGTGGTTGATTTGACCGGGTCGGAAGCTGAACCCAAAAAATCTATGCCTGCCAAAACAACAACTCCAGCTCTTTCTGACGCGCCGATCGATGATCGGATGTTTGTTGAGTTTTCGAACATGGGACCTAGATCAAAAGGGAGATACTTGTTCGGGCTGATGCCATCCTCCATATGGTGTCATACCGCGATTAAGGTTCCCCCCAGTTTCACGAACTTGACCCACTGGTCAGATCTTTTTGAAGCAGGTCATCAAGAAGCACTCAAGGTACGCTTCACTATGATCCATACCTTCCTATTCTTTATTGGTTTATCTTATCTGACTTTCTTTGCAACTTGTTTTCAGGCCGGTGTATACTATCATAAGGCCTTTCTTGCGGCCGAAAAGGAAATGAAGGCCCTGGCCAGCGATCGGGATGACAACCAGGTCCTTCTTTCTGCCGCTCGGAAATTAGCGGCTGATCTACAAGAACGGGCCAAGGAAGGTGAGAAGGCAAAAGCTGCTCTGGCTGAAATGCAAGAAAAATCCCGACATCGCGACCGGGAGATTAAAGAACTTCGGGCCAAGGTGCGGGCTGTTGAATCCGCCGAGATCAAATTTGATAAAGCCGTAAGTGACCATCTGCCCGAACCTTATACGGTCAACACTTCTCAGATCGCAAATCAATCAACAGTTGATTATCAACGAGGCAAAGGGCTGAACGTCGCTCTGGAGAACACAACCCGACAATTCCTGGGACCTCATCTTGGCCAATTCTTACGCGAAAGCGAGGATCCCATCAAGGCAGGGATTGATCTCCTGGACAGCACGCCGGAAGGGAAATCTTTCTTGGATGTCCTGACCGAGAAAACTGTGACGCAAAGTCAGGATCTGCTTTTGGATAGGAACCTTGATTTGATCCTAGAACATTTCCCCAAGCCGTTCGACCCTGATGAATTAGGCTTTGACGATCTGTTCGGGAACACATACGACCGGATCATGGAGAAAAGGTCAAAAGCAGCCCCTGATGATGCAGTGCAGGCAAGGAGCTCTCAACCTCCACCTTCCCCGAATGGCAATCCTTCAGTAGCATAGCCTTGTAAATTTTTGCTTTCTTGTCTTTTTTTTTGTATATTCCGGCTAGTAATGCCGAAGAATAAACTGGGCATTTCTCTTTAACTGTTGATGTCTCTATTCTGTTCTTTCTCTGATTTTTCTTGCTCATAATCCTTTCTATGTTGCCGAACATCACTCGGCTCATGTATCTTTATATATCTGACACCTCTCCCGAGCCCGTTTTGATCCCTTTTCTGTTCGTGATCCATGGGGTCAAAACTCTTTTAGCTGAGGTGAATTCCTCCAAGCCGTTTTGATCGTGACCACAGGGTCAAACTCTCAGCTGGGACAGGGTTTCCCTCCAAACTGTTAACCCGTTCGTCATTCGGTCATCCAGAATGATCCCACGTGTTAACAAGCTGAGGTGAGACTATCTCCCTTCCGAATTTGTTCTGACACCTTTCCCGAGCCCATTTTGATCCCTTTTCCGTTCGTGATCCACGGGGTCAAAACTCTTAGCTAAGGTGAAGTCCTCCAATCCGTTTTGATCGTGACCACAGGGTCAAACTCTCAGCTGGGACAGGGGCTCCCTCCAAACTGTTAACCCGTTCGTCATTCGGTCATCCGGAATGATCCCACGTGTTAACAAGCAGAGGTGAGACTATCTCGCTTCCGAATTTGTTCTGACACCTTTCCTGAGCCCGTTTTGATCCCTTTTCCGTTCGTGATCCACGGGGTCAAAACTCTTAAGCTGAGGTGGATTCCTCCAAGCCGTTTTGATCGTGACCACAGGGTCAAACTCTCAGCTGGGACAGGGGCTCCCTCCAAACTGTTAACCCGTTCGTTATTCGGTCATCCGGAATGATCCCACGTGTTAACAAGCTGAGGTGAGACTATCTCCCTTCCAAACCCATAATTCCGATGCATTCCGAACTATTCTCTCTGGCTCGTATCATCCATATTAGGGGTCTGAGGTAACCCTTTTTCAAACTGTAAGCAAGGTCACCGGATCGGGTCATTCCTTATTTATAGCTAAAAGGGCGACTCGCTTCCAAATCAAGTTAATGACTGAGGTGAGATTTTTCAAAACCATAGTTCCGATTCCCCGGACGACAATCCGTACCTTATCCGAACGTCGCTCGATTCGTCCATATCTTACAGTCCTGACACCATCTCCAAGCCGTTTTGATCCCTTTGCCCGTACGTAATTACAGGGTCGAATTTAGCCAAGTTGACGACTCAGCTCCCTCCAAACTGTTAACCCGTTCCTCATTCGGTCATCCGGAATGATTATGCGTGTTAAAAAGCTGAGGTGAGAATCACTTACATCAAACTCCAGGCCATTTTGATCCCTTTAACAATGCGTAATTACAAGGTCAAAACTCTAGCTGAAATAATGGCTCCCTCCAAACTGCTAATATGTTCCTCATTCGGTTGTCCAGAACGATTCCCATGTTAACCGCTGAGGTGAGACTATCTGAGTGTCAAACTCCAAGCCGTTGGCTGAGAATGACTTTCCTTCCATGTTGTTAACCCGTTCGTCATTCGGTCATCCGGAATGACCGTGTTAACCATGGGCTGAGATTTTCTGAGCATCGATTCTTCAAGCCGTTTTGATCCCTTTATCCATTCATAAATGTAGGGTCAAAACTTTCTTAGCTGAGAATGATTTTCCTTCCATGTTGTTAACCCGTTCATCATTCGGTCATCCGGAATGATCGTGTTAACCATGGGCTGAGATTTTCTGGAAGTTATGCCTCCCTCTCTATACATATACATTTTTTTTTCAGAGGTGGCAACAGCCGTTTTTACTGATAAAATTTCCTTAGATGTTCCGTATTCCATGTGCCTGCCGGTCGACCTTCGGTATTTTGTAGGCCAAACGTTCCTGAAGCATACTTCTTACATATTTGGTAGGGGTCTTCCCAATTTTGTGCCATTTTCCCACCTTCGAGAGGTTTGCTTTTTTCTCGCTTTCTTAGCACCAGGTCCCCTACCTCGATTGAACGGATTTTTACTTGTTTATCAAAGTATCTTCTCGTGGCTCTGTGATACTCTTTCATTCGTGCAGCTGCCAGATCCCTTCTTTCTTCTATGAAATGCAATTCGGCCCGTAGGTTGTCCTCATTCTGTTCTGGGCTGTAATGTACCGTTCGGTGTGTGGGAACTAGGATCTCCGTTGGTACTTTGGCCTAGAAACCATAAGCAAGGGCAAATGGAGTTTCTCTCGTGGCCATTCGGGGTGTAGTCCTGTAAGTCCATAAAATATAATTTAACTGATCAGGCCACGATGAGGAGTATTCTTCCAGCTTCTTCTTCATACCATCCATGATAGTACGGTTCATATTCTCTACTTGGCCATTGGCTTGAGGGTATGCCACGGATGCTCTGGAATGTTTGATTCCCCATTTGACCAGGTAGTTCTCAAAATTCCGGCTCACAAACTGTCTTCCATTATCAGTTACAATCTGCTAAGGGATTCCGAACCGGCAAATGATATTCTTCCAGACAAACTTTTGACATTTGACATCTGTGATGCTGACCAGTGGTTCGGCCTCTACCCATTTGGTAAAGTAATATATCCCCACGATGATATACTTGTTGTTTCCAGGGGCCGTAGGTAGAGGACCTAACAGGTCGATCCCCTATCTTGCAAATGGAAGGGCCACCGTCATTGGAGTGTAGAAAGTGGCCGGCCGTTCGGGGACCGGTGCGTACAGTTGGCATACTTTACATTTTTTAGTATGTGCAAAGCAGTCTTGTTGGATAGTCGGCCAATAATACCCTTGCAGGATGATTTTTCTGGCCAGTGTCTTGGGCCCTTGGTGGCTGGAGCAGATACCTTCATGAATTTCTTCCATTACGGCTGCCGCTAGATCGGGTGGGAGGCATTTCAAATACGGCCCACCAAACGTCTTTTTGTACAGCTGTCCGTCCACTAATTCGAACATGGAAGCCCTCCTCTGGATGCATTTTATCTGATAAGCAGGATTTTTATCTTGTGGGAGGGTTCCGTCTTTCAGGTAGTTGGTCATATCTATGACCCAACTAGGGACGACATAAGATATGGCCTCGATCTGGAGCACCATGATTGCTGGGGTTGCCAATGTTTCCCGATGGGCAAAACGTTGGATATGAGCCGAGATCTCCTGTGCCCGATCGTCGAACGCTGCATTTTCTAACTTGGATAGGATATCTGCTTCAGTATTCTCTATCCTGGATATTTGGTCGAGCACCACCTGTTCAAATTTGTTTATCTGCTCCTCAACTATCTCTTTGTAAGCCTTCATTCTATCTTCTTTAGCCTCAGCAGTGCCATTTACTTGATGTACCACCAATTGACTATCCGACCGGACTTTTAACCGATCGGCACCCAGGGCCTTTGCATATTTTAAACCAGCAATAAGGGCCTCGTACTCAGCCTCATTGTTGGTTACTTTGAAGTCAAAATGGATGGAATAATATGTTTTGAAACCTTCGGGCGATGTGATCACAGCTCCAACTCCACAACCCTTGGCACTAGCTGCACCATCCACATACATTTCCCACCAGTTATCCAGCCCATTGTTCTCTGAGTCTGTTTTTGAGGGCCGGGCGGTACATTCTGCAATGAAATCTGCCAGGGCCTGTCCTTTGATAGTAGGCCGATGCTTGAAATCCACCTCATATTGCCCGATCAGGAGGCTCCACTTGGTAATGCGTCCACTTGCCATCGGATTTCTCAAGACGGTGGCGAGTGGCTGAGTAGTATACACAGTTACCGAGTGGGTCTGGAAATATGGTGCCAGACGTTTAATGGCAGCTATCAGGGCCAACACCGTTTTCTCTAGCAAGGTGTACCTGGTTTCCAGGCCGTTCAAAGCCTTGCTTACAAAATAGATTGGTCGTTGAACGCCATCCTCTTCTTTCAATAGTACCGTGCTCACGGCCAGGTCAGCTACAACAAGGTACATATATAGATGTTCCCCTGGTTCGGGTTTTGTCAAGACCAGGGGGAAGACAGATATGTCTTGAAATCTTCAAAGGCCGTTTGATATTCGGCCGTCCATTCAAAGGGGTTGGCTTTCTTCATGATCTGGAAAAATGGAATAGCTCGATCGGCTAGCTTGGATAGGAATCTGCTCAGAGCAGCTAACCGACCGGTCAATCTCTGCACTTCTTTGAGATTTCTAGGAGCCTCCATATCCACAATTGCCTTTACCTTTTCAGGATTGGGCTCAATCCCCTTCTCGCTCATCATGTATCCCAAAAATTTGCCACCTCTTACAGCAAATGCACACTTTTTGGGATTCAGCCTCATGTTCGCTTTCTGCATTATCCCGAACACCTTTTCTATGTCCAGGACATGATTTTCCTTCTTCCTGCTTTTGATCAGGATATCATCAACATAAGCCTCCATTGTGACCCCCAACACTTCTTTGAACAGCATCCCGATCATCCTTTGAAAAGTTGCCATTGCGTTCTTTAATCCGAATGGCATGACAATATAGCAAAACACACCATCCGAAGTAACGAACGCTGTGTTCTCTGCATCAGCTGGGTGCATGAATATCTGATGGTAACCCCGGAATGCATCCATGAAGCTCAACAATTCACATCCGGCAGTTTCATCTACTAGCAGATCGATCCTCGGCACTGGATAAGGATCCATGGGGCAAGCTTTATTCAGATTCGAGTAATCCACGCACATTCTCCAAGTAGATTGTTTTGGAGCTAGGACCACATTCGATAGCCATTCTACGTGGATTACTTGACGGATGTGTTTTATTTTCAGCAAGGTGGCCACAATTCACATCCGGCAGTTTCATCTACTAGCAGATCGATCCTCGGCACTGGATAAGGATCCATGGGGCAAGCTTTATTCAGATTCGAGTAATCCACGCACATTCTCCAAGTAGATTGTTTTGGAGCTAGGACCACATTCGATAGCCATTCTACGTGGATTACTTGACGGATGTGTT